CTGAGGTTCAGAAAATGTCTGAGTGATAACAGAGAGGCATAAACTCGTAATGAGTTGGATTTGCTGATTGAATAAATAAGTGAATAAATAAAATCAAAGCGGTTGATGAGCCCGAACATTTCAGGCAGCTACTCATGAACTGGGTCATATACCGGGCCAAGCCGGAGAAGACGAATCCCTGGCCACCCTGCGTCTGATTCGAGCTTGTATGATCTCGGAGTGTGCTGATGTATGCCCATCACGACCAAGACCACCGTTCTTAACAAAACTTCAGCAATGATTATCCTATCGTATTATAGTATCGCACACTTCCATTGCTACTGCTTACCATTGGATGCATGACAACTTTTGAATGATAGAATCAAATTTCTAACCTTTTAGTATTCACAATTCTGAGATAAGTCTTATTACCGATAATCTGTTTCTTGATCGATGAACAACACCCACAACACAAATTGTTCTCATTCAATGTTCAATTCGCTTCTGATGAAATTTTCACGACTGGGAATCAGTTTTCGCTGGAACTTTTCTATTTTTATCGAATTTTGAACATGCTGAACTGTTTGACATTCTCGAATTTTGGTGTGCATTATTTGTGAATGGTTGATCTCATTATTTATAAAGTCTCATAAACTCTTGCTCGTTTCATCCCTTCATTTCATCTCTTCTTTAGAATATCTCATCAATAAAATAATTCTTGTGAATCGTTCTTGAAGCCAACTCATTATGAATGGAATAACACAACAATAACAATCAGCTACCCCCAGCAAATGCATTAGCACTATAGATGGATTCAGCTGAACGACTTCATATTGTGCATCTGATTTGGTGCAATCAACTGATATAGCGACTAGTCGATAGTGGAATAGATCTAATGATGGACACTGTTCTAAGTGTATGATTAACAGTGCACAACAGCCTCATGCAATCACTGTTTCATTCATGCAATTCCTCTCCTGGAAATTATTTCAGTAAAATTCACTGCGTTGGGTGCTTATTTGATTTCCGCACTGTTTTTTCGATGAATTATTAGTTATCTTTCCGCAAATCATGGCCACTTTTTTTGTTTTTAAGATGAAAGATTTGTAGTTTTGACTTGAGTATCGCATGCTATGTTTTCGATAAGAATGAATGAAATGAATTGAGCTTATTGCTGAGATGAAGTGACTATATATATACTTTCTTCATCTTAAAATAGGTTAAATGAAATATGAGATGCTCTCGCATCGGTTTTCAAAATGACCGCAAAAACCTTTTTAAAAATAAAAAACTACTGGTGCC